GGCCTCAGCTGCTTTGTCGCGAATGGCGAGGATGTCTTCAGCAAATTTCTGGGACCGGGGTACTGGTGACTCAATGTTCGGTGTAGCGGGTACAACCGGGTCCTGTCCGTAGTTGAGGAAGAATGGTGATTGATGGGTTGTCGCTGAGGTCGCGTTATTATACGCGAATTCTAGTAGCGGAAGAGATTTCTCCCATGTCGAGGGGTCAGTACAGGTGGTGCGAATGAGCTGCTCCATGGTTTGGTTAACGCGTTCGGTCTGCCCGTCGGTTTGTGGGTGGTAGGCGGATGAAAATTGGAGTTTGGTGCCGAATTGGTCCCACACGTGGCGCCAAAAATTCGATGTGAATTTTGGGTCTCGGTCGGAAATGATGGCGGAGGGCAGTCCGTGCAGACGGATGACGTTCGCGATGAACAGCTGCGCAGTTTGTTCGGCGGTGATTGTCTGTTGGCAGGCGATGAAGTGTGCCATTTTCGTGAGTCGGTCAACGACCACGAGGATGGCGTCGTTTCCGCTGGGACCGGTCGGCAGTCCTGTCACGTAGTCCATCGTAACGTGTTGCCAAGGTCGCTCGGGCGGATCCAATGGCTGTAGTAGTCCGGCTGCTCGCTGATGCGACGATTTCATAATCTGGCAGGCGGTGCAGGAGGACACGTACGTGCGCACGTCATCGGCCATGTTCGGCCAGTAATAATTCCGCTGCAGCATCTTCGTGGTTTTATCGACGCCGAAATGTCCTGAGGTAGGGTTGTCATGGGATTCCTGGATGAGCAGGGTGCGGAGTAAATCGTAGCCGGGTACCCAGATGCGAGAGATACCGCGTTTATGAAAGTACGGGCCAGTAGCGGTGGTATGCTGTTGATGGATGGCGGAGCGGAAAAAAGGATCGATCTTGTATCCGTGGGTGAATAGTCCTGTAAGTAATGGGTTTGACTGGGCGACTAGTATCGCGGCGGTATGGACAGTAGGGCGGGTCAAGGCATCGGCGATATTATTGGCCCCCCGTTTGTAGGTGATGGTGTAATGGAAATTTGACTCGAGGAAATCGAGCCATCGGATCTGTCGTGGGTTGAGGTTCGGTTGGGCGCGCAGGTACTGTAAGGATTTGTGGTCCGTCCGCACTGTGACGTCAGCTCCGGTCAGGTAGCACCGCCAGGTTTTGAACGCGTGGACGATTGCCAGCATTTCCTTGTCGTGCACTGTATAGTTCTTCTCCGCGCCTTGCAGCTTCCGTGATTCGTATGCGACTGGTTGTAACCCGTCGCCGAAATCCTGTAGGAGAACTGCACCGATGGTGATGTCGCTGGCGTCGGTGACGACTTCGTATGGACGGTTGGGATCGGAGATGCGAAGGACGGGTGGCGACGTGAGGGCGATTTTGAGTTGATCGAATGCAGCTTGCTGCTTCTCACCCCACCAAAAACAATCGTGATCCTTCAATCGGTCGGTTAGCGGTGCAGATAACCCAGCCATATTGGGGATAAAGCGGCGGACGTAGTTGACAAAACCCAGAAAACTTTGGTGTTCCTTGAGGTTGGTCGGCGGCTTCCATTCCTGTATGGTCTTGATTTTCCTGGGGTCGATTTTCACGCCTTCGGTAGAGACGACATGGCCCAAAAACTCCAACTCCGGCTTAAGAAAGTCGCACTTAGACCCTTTCGTGATGAGGCGATTCTTGTGCAGCAGCGTGAAGACTGCATCAAGATCCTTTAAGTGCTGCTCCCTGCTGCGGCTGTAGATTAGGATGTCATCGAGGTAGATAATTACGCATTTATCCAAGAGTTCGTGAAAAATACCGTTCATGGTCATCTGGAAGGTCGAGTGCGCGTTCATGAGTCCAAAAGGCATCACCAGGTACTCGTAACTACCGTAGCGGGTTCGGAAGGCGGTCTTGTGGCAATCCTCGGCGGCGACGCGAATTTGGTGGTAACCTCCTCGCAGATCGATTTTCGAGAAGAACTGGGCTCCGCGAAGTTGGTCGAGTAGGTCGTCGGCTCGCGGGATCGGGTAACGGGACTTGATGGTGATGCGGTTGAGTGCGCGGTAGTCGATGCACATACGGAATCCGCCATCTTTTTTCGGTGTGAACAGTATGGGGGTGGCGTATGGGGATGTGCTTGGGCGGATGAAACCTTTCGTTAGGAGGTAATCCAGCTGCTGCTGCAATTCCTCGAGTTCCGGTTGGCTGAGCCGAAATTGTCGCTGTACCGTCGGTTGTGCCCCTGGTTCCAGCTCGATGCGATGGCCTTCGGGTCGGCTTGGCGGCAGTCCGGCGGATAGGTCGTCCGTGAAAATCTCGGGGTATTTTCGGATGAGTTCTGCTAAATCCGGAGGAACGGCTTCACACAGCTTCGTGATATCTTCCGCTGTTATCGGCGACGTCACTTCGCAAAGATCAATGGCGTATGCTGCTGCTCCCGCTTTTATCGCGCGCTTGAAAGTGATCGCGTGGACTTGGGTACTTCGCATGCGGGGTCCCGTCCATTTCGGTAATTCGTGATAGTGCCCATCGATCTTGATGCTGCAGCTGCCCGTCGTCCAGTCGATTTTCGGGTTGTACTGTCGCAGCCAATCCCGTCCCAGCAGCACGTCGCACCCGTCGAGTGTGGTCGCCAGCAGCCCCATCCGAAATTTTACGTGCTCGCCGCAGTGGAAACTGACGTGCTCCACCCGCTCCCGTATAGCCAGCGGTGTTCCATCCACCAGTCTTGCGTCAATTTTGGGTAGGCACTTTAATAAGGGGATACCCATTTTCTTAGCCCTGTCAAGCTGCATGAGACTGTGACTCGCGCCTCCATCCACGAATATTTTCAGCAACACCCCGTTGACTTTACCCTCCACCAACACAGGGTGATCAGCAGTTTCGTCCCCCTTATTTGTCCAGGTCCGGTCGATTGCAGCAATCGGGATCACGACCCGGTGGGGACTGTGTGGTTCGGGCGAAGAAGCCTGCCCGTCAGTAAGGGGCCCGGTACTTACTGACGCGACCCATTTCCCGGTCGCTCCTCCGGCTTCTTCCCCATAGAATTCTGGATGGCGATGAACTCTTGGCAGTTGCGTTTGATGTGACCCGGTCGGCCACAGTGGTAGCATAGCCCCGTATTTCGCGGAGCAACTGCGTAGATATCTACTGCGTCCATCCTTTTTATCGTGGTGCGCTGGTACTGTTCTCGAGGGCGACCTCCGTCGTAGAAGTTCGTCCTCGGCTTCGTGAGCGAGTCAGCGGCTTCGACGAGTTGGATGAAGTCTTGTAACCGCTTCGCTGGTCATTGTAATTTTATTTGGTACTGTATTTCAAGCTTCAGCCCGCCCATGTACCTGTCGACCTTCTCCAACTCGTGCATGTAGCCACATCGATCCACCAACGTCAGGAATGACGCGATGTAGTCGGACACAGATCCCAGCTGCTTCCACATGCGTAAAGTCTCGCGCACTTTGTCTGAGTCAGGAGCATGCTCAAACCGCTTGCGAAGTTCTGCGCACCACGTTGCCCACGTGCGAATGTGAGTTGCACCAAACAGCAAATCTGCTTCGTCTTCGTCGCCGAATTCTTCGGACCACTCATGCTGTCCTTCTGTACGAGTTGCCGCTGAGTCGACGATGACCTTCCACCACTGTAGGGCGGCCCCTTGCAGCAGTGTCAACGCATGGCTGATCCGCTTCTGGTCGTCTCGGATGCCTGCCGCGTTAAAGTAGATATTCATGGCGAATATCCACTGCTGCACCGTCACGCCTTTATTAGCTGGGTCGAAAGGAGCGGGTTGCTGATATCTCACGCCGCCACTTGTCGAGCGCGGGGCTGTCGCCGCTAGCCATGCCAGCTCCACTGGTGTCGGTTGCTGCTCACCCGCCTCGCTTCGTGCATCGTCGCCCGGCTCCTCTGAACGCCTTTCCTGCGCCTGGCGAAGTCGTTGGTTTTCGTCACGGAGGTGTGGACGACGCTTGTCAAATTATTCAACTGCTCCATTAATGCTTGCAGGTCTACTGTTTCCCGGGCAGAGTTCGCAGCAGTCGAGGTTGTCTGTTCCTCAACCGTCGAGTCTACCGGGGCCATGGCGGTCAGGACGGGGCAGAAACTAGCGCACACGCTGTAGTTGTTGTCGTAAAAATATTTACGATCAGAGACAACTGCTGTGCAGCCATGTTAATCCCCTCTGACTACCCTTAACTAACTAACGGGGAAAAAACGGAAGGTTCCGAGAAAGGTCGGGCTCTGATACCAGCTGTTATGATTTAGAAGATGTCAATGTACTATAATGAGAATACAACGTCACTATTGCCATGAAAGCACAAGGATATATAGGAGTGGACGTAATAGGGCGATAACCTCGGGACGTGAGTAGGTTCGGCAATGTGGCGACGCTGTCGGGCGCGACTCGAGAAAGGGTTGGCCCGAAAATGTAGGCCGAACGTGACGAGTCGAAGTGTTCGGGTGTACGCGGTAGCGGCCGACTCAGTAAGGAATGGAAATTCCTTACATTGTTTGCCTATAAATCAGTATACTCTTGTGTGCTTTGTATCTCATTGGAACTAGTGGAATGCTTGTGTGTATTGACAACTTGCAACCACTTTGAGATCAGATTGTGAGGCAAGGCCCTTGAGGCTATTTGCACATGTATTTCTAAATATTTTTCGCTGCGCCGGAGGCGATAGTCGCCAAGAACTGGTATCAGAGCTAGCGTCGAATTGCTGGCGAATTTTTCTGCGTGGAGTCTACTTAGTGCGCTAAGTAGAGCAGAGGATTTAAAGGAGTGTAGCCTAAGCCTACGTCATGGCGGGTGATGAGGTTAGTTCGGGATCCAGTGTGAGCATTGGAGAACCACAGATGAGAGCTCTCCTGGAGGCCCTGTCGAGGGGGCAGTTTATGGTGAAACCAACGATTGGGCTCAGCGAGGCCCAACGTTTCAATGGAAGCAGCTACAGTACGTGGCACTTGAAGTTCAATCGAAGGGCGGAGGAGGTGGACCTTTGGCCCTACTACTCGCCGGGCAAGGAGACAGGGGAGGGAGTACCTCCTACTGAGACGGAGCCGGCGGAGAAAATTGCAGAATTCAGGAGGAAGAGTAAGCAAGCGTTCTTTCAGTTGTGTCACTCAGTTTCTGACAGTATTGCCGTCAATTTGGACCCGTTTAAGCGTGAGGTGAATTCTGCGGAGAAGGCCTGGGCATGTTTGGAGAGCATGTATCTTAGGCCAAGCAACACTAACAAGTCTGCTGTGCGTAAGAAGTTGGTTGCTCAGCATGGGAGAGGAAGAGAAGATCATCGACTACGTCAACAGGGCGCGCAGCCTCAACGATGAGCTAGCGGGGATGGGAGATGCTGAGAACGAGGAGCAAATGATCGAGCATCTAGCAAATGGACTACCCGAGACGTGGGCAGCAGAGAAGAGCGGCCTTGTTCTTCACCCTTCAGAGAGCATGACGCAGTTAGTGGACAAGCTGCAGTCGATTGAGGCGATGAAGATAGCGAGCAAGGGGAAGACGGAAGCTGCATATGGCGGGCAGGAGAAGCCGGGGATGGTGAATGCAGCAGCGGCTTGGAGGATTACTGGTGCTTGTTATCACTGCTGTAAGAAAGGGCACAAGGCGATAGACTGCTACGATAATCCTAAGAGCAGGAACTATAGGGGGAAGGAAACTGCAAGCGACGGAGAAGGTTGGCAGCAGCGGAAGGGGTTTGGAGGCACCTGCGATTTCTGTGGGAGGTACGGACATAGGGCAGCAGATTGCTATTCCAATCCAAACAGCAAGAGTTATAGGGGTCCAGCACATCAGCTGCGGAATGCACCGAAGGCGAACGTGATGGAAGCAGAAAAGGAGAAAGAAGATCCTATCCTTGGAGGCGCACATCGGGCAAACATTGCGCGTGCGTCAAACCTGCGAGCTGACGGGTTCAAGCTCCACGGCTGGTACTTCGACAGTGGTTGTACACAGCACATGACAAACAGGTCAGACTGGCTGGAGAATGTGAGGGAGTCGAGTGAGAAGTTCATACTGCTGGGAGATAGCACAAAGGTACCCGTCACTGGAGAAGGTGACGTCCTACTGCGTAGCAGGTTCGGGGAACTGAAGCTGAAAGGAGTACTGCTGGTGAAGGACCTATCCATGAATCTGATTAGTCAGTCATAGATGGATGCATTGGGGTGTAAGGTGCTCAACGACCGGGGCAAGGTTACAGTATTTGGTCCAACGTGGGAAGTAGTTGCAGACGGGAAACTGAAGCGGGGTTTCTACGAGATGGATTTTATGCCGAAGCTGTTAGTAACGGATGGGTATGAGGAGGACAACATAAGCAATGAAGTCATGGTTGTAAGGGAGGAGACAGGAGCTGAGGCAGCTAAGAAGCAGGATGCTGGAGATCTTGCAACAAGCACGATGATGGCCAACAGAGTGGAGGCAAAGGTTGGAGAAACAGGATGGGAGGAGAAACAGAAGCAGGCAGCAGCAAAGACAAGGAACGAGGAGATAGAGAAGTCTGAGGAACCTGAGGGAGAGAAGCAGACAGTAACGACTATCAACTGGTTTGGTAAGATTTTGGAGGTTAGCGAAGGAGGATGGATAGTACGGGCTGGCGACGAGTTGTTCAGTGATTGTGAGGGTATCCTAGAATGGGCAAGAGAGATTGGGGACTCTACTGAGGGCGAGGAGTACAGTAAGGAGAAGAAGCAGACCAATCCTAATCTGAGGGTTCAGAGTTATCCATTCAAGCCTGGTAAGCAGAAGCAGAAAGCCAAGCAGTTGCTGGGGAGTATGGAGCTGACCTAGCATGCAAGGATAAAGACTACTGGGGAGCAGTAAAAGAGAGAATCACATGGGAGGTGCGTGGTTGGCAGAACCACAGGGGAGGTTGTTGGAGTGGTTCCGCCACCAACAATGGACTACTTGTGACTTGGGGTGACGAGGAGAGAAATGCGGACTTGGGACGAGAAGGAACTAGGAAGCGGGTATTGCGTGAGCGTGAGGTGTACGGAAAGGGGAGAAGAAAGAGAGAAGATTGGTGGAAAGAAAGGAGAATGGTGGTTGAGTGGAAGAAAGGAGTGGAAGTGGCGAGAAACAGATTGACGTGGGGCAAAAGTTGGGTTTCGGACGGGGCGTGTTCAACAAGCATTCTGACTTCGGACCAGCGGCGTGTTCAGCAAGAAAGTCGCGATTGCGTGTGCAACTCGGCATGACACGAAGCGCGCGAGTTACACGCAGCGCACACGGCAGTTACGAACCGCGTTTGTTCTTTCTTGTTTGCCTATGAATCAGTATACTCTTGTGTGCTTTGTATCTCATTGGAACTAGTGGAATGCTTGTGTGTATTGACAACTTGCAACCACTTTGAGATCAGATTGTGAGGCAAGGCCCTTGAGGCTATTTGCACATGTATTTCTAAATACTTTTCGCTGCGCCGGAGGCGATAGTCGCCAAGATCTCCTTCCTTCCGCACCTCTCTCCTTCCTTCCGAACCTCTCTCCTTCCTTCCGCACCTCTCTCCTTCCTTCCGCACCCCTCTCCTTCCTTCCGCACCTCTATCCTTCCTTCCGCACCTCTCTCCTTCCTTCCGCACCTCTCTCCTTCCTTCCGCACCCTTCTCCTTCCTTCCGAACCACTATCCTTCCTTCCGCACCTCTATCCTTCCTTCCGCACCTCTCCCCTTCCTTCCGCACCTCTCTCCTTCCTTCCGCACCTCTCTCCTTCCTTCCGAACCTCTATCCTTCCTTCCGCACCTCTCTCCTTCCTTCCGAACCTCTATCCTTCCTTCCGCACCTCTCTCCTTCCTTCCGCACCTCTCTCCTTCCTTCCGCACCTCTCTCCTTCCTTCTGCTCCTCTTCCCTTCCACATTCCGCTAGATCTTCTAGGTGGGTACAGGCAGGGGCACGGGAACACGTTTCTCTCTCTCCTACCCGCAACTCTCGAACCCCTAGTCTCTGGCTTCGGTTTGCGACTTTCGCGCCGTGCAAAATCGAGTCACTGTGGTACTAGTAACTGGCGACGCTTCTGCGCTGAATGGATGTAGAGCTGGGAAGATTCTGGCTCGCATATACCGTGTGGAATGTGACACATATCTGTGCGGAGTCGGACGCCTGTTTTTCAGCAGCGCTTCTGCATTTGTTCGCGTCTGTTAATCTGGTGCTTGCCTGGTGGTTTTGTGTGTGACGCGATTCTGTGACGCGTTTTTGCTTGCAAGGAGGTCCCAGGTTTGGCGAAGGTTTTTCTGTTTGCGAAGGGGCAGGTCGGTTTGGCCTTGTTTCGCAATTCCAATTCTGAATATCTGGTTCCTCGTCATTTTCGCAGCCAATCGCAAACCTTCCGCTCTCTCCCGAGCCGCGAACTGCAAATCTGCTTTTCGCGGCTTGCAACTTGGGATCTGGGCTTTAAGGAAAGGGTATTTCCTTACACCAACACCATAACAGGGTTGCAGCGCAAAAATGCACGTATATTCAAACCGCACGCACCAACTGTGGCCGTGTCCAGGACCGCATGCAACTAGTACGTTTTACAGCTTCGTGCAGGTTCAGGCGCTTTGCACCGATTTCAGAGCCTCACGTCTCGGCTCTGCCGAGCCTCAATGGAGCTCTCTAGACCTAGCTCTCTCTAGATATGGGGTTGTTTTCCAGCTGCATAATTGTATTCTGGCCTCAATATTCACACTTCAATTCTCGCTGTTTGTGCCATATAACACTTGGTCATTAGAGCCATCGATCCTCAGCATTGTGTTATAGTTTCGCTGCAATACCGACACTTAGGGAGGCGGATGCTGAGCTGAAAAAGGCCGAGGATATTTTCAATAGGCTAAGTCCTTGTAACAGAGTGCTTGATAGCACAGCGGAAGTCTTGAGTTTGAACCCTTGTAGTGGTATGTGAGAACAAGTGATTGATTATAGCAAGGGGATACATAGTTTATATAATAATACAAGAGAATATGAAGAGTCTAACTTTTTGTGCACTTCTAGGGGTGCATTCCCTTTTTTACGACTCGATAAGGCGACTCGGGTAACCACCCGTACTGTAATATCGGGACGGTCATTTGTCCTTACTGTCGCGCTGACTCCTGACTCTTCCGATTCTGACTATTGGGTTGCACGGTTAACGGTCTGCGACCGTTGCCCTTTCGCAACCTCTGCGGGGTGTCATCAACCCGTGTCAAGTGTCGGTAGTACTGTAGCAGTGTTGACTCAGTGATCCTCGTTGTTGCAGTCTTCGCGTATTCGTACTCTCACGCGAGTCTCCGAAAATGTCTGAAGTTCTTTATCATTTTCAACAGCTGACGGCCTGCATATCCGCTGTGGCGGATAATATTAATCAATAGTTACCTACAGCCACTGTTGGAAATGATGAAGAGAAAACTTAAGCATTTCAGGAGTCTCACGTGTTATACAATACGCGAGTACAACAACATCGAGGACTGACGAGTCAACCATGCTACAGTACCTTCGGACAGTTGACACAGTCTGGTAACACATGACAGAGGTTGAGAAGAGCAACGGTCGCAAGCGGTTGACCGTGCAACCCAACAGTCAGATGTACAAGAGTTGAAGTCAGCGCGACAGCAAGGATACATAACCGTCCCGGTATTGCAGTACAGGTGGTTACCCGAGTCGTGCTTATAGATTCGTAAAGGGAGTGTACCTCTTGAAGTGCACGGTTAGTTCGACCTTTAATATTCTCTTGTAATATTATATAAAATATTGTATCTCATTGCTATGATTAGTCACTTGTTCTCACATACCAGTACAAGGGTTCAACTCAAGCTTCTGCTGTGCTATGAAACGCTCTATCTACCCAAAGACTTAGTCTCTGCCAAAGATCCTAGGGCTGTTTTTCAGCCCAATATGGTATCAAAGCTAGTCGGAGACTATGTTTCCACTACAAACTCCTTCGATTGAGTTCCTAACCTGAACAAGAACGCTCGAAGTGATACCAGTTTATGATCCAGACATTTAAGACAAGCATGGCACCATCTAAGGGTGAAGGATCCTCTACTGGACCTCCAGACCACGAAGCATCAGCACCTCTAGTCTCTGAAGTACAGACTGAGGCAAGCGCAACTCAAGGCACAACTATGGGGACACCCGCAGAGCAAGCAGCTCTCCCCTGTAGCATTGACCCGAGCTTTGCGAAGAAGTACTTCTCCTTCATGTCGCACTACGAACACCCTTTGCCACCTGCTCAGTCAGCACACAGCAACAAGGTCAGTGGTGCCCACACTGGCTTGGCGCCGATGAGACTAGCTGTTGCACAGGGCGTCCTGCGCATAATACCCTGAGCTTTCTGTTCTGCAGCAACCTGTTACCTGGTGTGAACGGCTTGTCTTAATCGCAAATGTGTAAGTGATGGCGCGCATGGGCAGAAATACACCACTTCCCTCTTGCTGCGAAGCCTTATACACTGGCGGAAAGTATTGTCCACATGTTTGTGACTTAGAGGAATTTTGGAATTTTAAGGGGTCATGGACATTAAGCCTTAATCGTTTGGTATGCCCAGTGTATGTAGGTTGGGGTAAGGCTCTAGGCCCATGCCTTACATCTCACAACGATATTAATATTTACAGCAAATAGCAAAAATTAACAATCATGGTACATCCGGACAATTATTGTCAGGCGCAAGCAGCAAGTTACAACAACCCCAAACTAGTACCTAGTCCACCGCCCTTTCGCCTTAATCACAGCCCTCACCCTCCTGGGCATGCTTTCCACCAGGTGGGTGCACACATCCGCCGAGATCTTCTCCCATTCCTCCTGGACACGCTCCCAAAGGTCCAGCATACCAGTAGGAGGCTTCTCGTGCTTGGCCAGCTGCCTCTTGAGATGAGCCCATAGATGCTCTATTGGGTTGAGGTCGGGTGAGGATGATGGCCACTCTAGCACCCCAAACTCCTGCTCTCGAAGCCACTCCTGCACGATACGCGACTTGTGCTTCGGCTCGTTGTCGTGCTGGAAGATAGTTTCCGATGGTGAAAGCTGGTAAAACTCAATCGTACTATTGAGCTCGTCCTGCAGAATACTCAGATAGAGCTGTCCGTCCATCCTACCATCTATTTTGCACATGAAACCTGCTCCATCGTACGACATGCAACCCCAAATCATCAAGCAGCCACCCTCGTGTTTGACGGTCTGCTTGATTTGGTGGCTTTGGAGGGCAGTACCTTCGCGAACCCAGGCATATGAGCGTCCGTCGGAAGCAAACCGATTGATCTTGGTCTCATCTGACCAGATCACTCGCTTCCAGTCGTCAACCGTCCAGTCGGCGTAGGCACGGGCCCATTCTAGCCTATCGCGTATGTTTTTCCAAGAGAGTCGCGGCTTCTTGGGCTGCTGGATTGCGATAAGTCCGTTGCCATTCAAAGCATTACGCACCGTCCTAGGATGCAGCATGATGCCATGCTGCATCTCGACAATCTTCGCCGCGTGAGCGCAGGTTTTGGCCTCCCCGCTGGTAATCGACCGAACTATGCCGCGGCGAACTCTCTCTGTCACTAAGCGAGGGCGACCGGCTGAGGGCATCGTAGGACGCACGTCATCGCGGCTAGACTCTGCAATCGCCTTAAGGCCATAATCATGGACCGTACTCTTCCCCATGCCTAGCTGTTTAGCGATTCGACGAGTGCTATACCCCCTCCGCAACAGGGTAATGATCCATGCGCGGCGCACCTCATCTAATGGTTTCATGACGGCCTAATCGTAGCAGCGGTCCTAGCCTATCTCCTGACTACTCGAAAGTCGCGAGGGCAAGTAAGTAGAAAAAGGGAGGTTAGGATATAGATCTAGTACGCCGCTTGGCACGAACTGTCCGGATGCACCCACGCGAACCAAATCTCTTCCCCGGTAAAAAATCGAGCCCTATAAAACTGAAACCAGTATCCGTCACATATACTACAGTACTACTTTACAGCCAAGGCCGAAATATGAGTCGTAACTATACAAAAAAGGCACCAAAACATTACGATAATATTTTTAAGGCAATTATCCGGGCAATACTTTCCGCCACTGTAAACACACGTGGCTTGTGGGTGATGGTGAGATCCTTGGCCCAGATTTTAGCTAGTAGAGCACACAATACCATCACGGGGTTTCCGTGCAAAAATG